ATAGGAAAATGGGGAAGATAAACGTGAAACTGAACAGTTCGGAGCACTGGGAGATCGCATTGATCTCAGCGTTTACTCTTTTGAAGGCTTTACTACGGCGTAAGAAAGTTGCGAGTGAAATGACAAATGAAAATGAAGAAGAGTAGTGATTTTTCTCTTTTCCCCTCTAAATTAGGTAATGAAATTTTTTACTTTTTGGACATATGAATAGATAACTCATGTACAAGAGATGATTGGAAGACAGAACAAGAATTGCATACACATCTTCTTCCAATGTTCTATGTTATACTCTTGCCTTGTTGGTCTGGTGTAATGTTTATTTAGTCGTTAGAACATACTTTGGCTCACAAATATGATGCAATATTTGCTTTCTCAAAGTCGTAACACAGAGCTATGATGATTCTGTGTGAACGTGATTGCACACCTTTGTTTGGTGGTAAAACTTCAGTTTTAGTTCTCCAAGAAGTGTCAAGTAACAATAGTTTTTTTGTTCGGTCCGATAGAAACATTTTCACAAATATATTAAAAAAATAAAAAAGTCTTAAGAGTTAATTTACATTATAATTTACTTAACATATAATATGTAGGAAACAAATTTCTTCCAGCAATTGAAGCAATGTAATGATAGTTTACTGATTGGTATTCCGCTTCTACATGTTGTGTACAACTAATCTTATCAAAGACTTATGAAAATGTTTACTCTCTCTTCCTTTGAGTTAGTTCTCTCTCAACGTAAATGTGCTCATCCCAATTTCTATACAAAAGAAGCGTGACGACAGTCAGATATAGTTTTAAAATCGAAGGTAACCTAACCTATTCGCACCTATCTATATTCTAAAACCAATATATGCAGTTTTTGTTGTAAAATAAAAGCTATAAAACCCATCTCCATTTTATCAATATGTGGTATGGTAGTTCATTGTAAAGTAAAAAGAAAAAAACAGAAAGTTGGGTGTTGGATTACGACAGGCCCAAGTAATTAGATGGGCTTGATAGTTATAGGCCTTACTTATAAACTGAATCAGCCACAGTCTCCTTTTTTTAACTCGTTCATCGTCTCTCTCCATCCATCCCTCAATCCTGCGCGGCGGCGACAATGGGTACGAATGTTTTCATCTTCTTCATTTCTCCATCTGATGGATCTCTGTTCTTCTTTTCTGTGTGTGTGGTATTGAATGTTTCGATGCTAGAAACTGATAATGATCCCTGATTTTTTGTTAGGTATTTCTCGTGACTCCATCCACAAGAGGCGTGCGACTGGAGGCAAGCAGAAGCTATGGAGGAAGAAGCGAAAGTAAGTTTTGTATTTTGCTCTTCTTCAGATCTATTATTTTCTCTTCTCCTTGGGTTGTGTTCGATTTTGTGACAAACGCTTAGGAAACTGTCTAAGAAATAAGTGGTGGGAATCATAACACTTGATTTATCCGTCGTTGTCAAAACATTAGTGTTAAAGCTTCAATTTCTTGGAATTTAGAGTACTAATCTCAGGAAAATGTAGTCTTGGAGGAAATGTTTTTTGAGATCAGAGTTTGGTTCTCCTCTAATTATTGGAATTTTGTCTTGTGTTTTTTTTATTTAGAGTCTCACAGTTTTGGAGCTGCGGAATCATGATATCTTTGATTTTTTGTTGGTGCTATACAGTACTTGTGGTTTGTTAAGCTTTGTGTGTTTTTGGTTTCTGAAGGTATGAGATGGGAAGGCAGCCTGCCAACACCAAGTTGTCAAGCAACAAGACGGTCAGGAGAATCAGGGTTCGTGGAGGTAATGTCAAGTGGCGTGCGTTGAGGCTCGATACTGGTAACTACTCTTGGGGAAGCGAAGCAGTTACCCGCAAGACCAGAGTCCTTGATGTGGTCTACAATGCATCCAACAATGAACTTGTTCGTACTAAAACTCTTGTTAAGAGTGCCATCGTTCAGGTGGATGCTGCTCCCTTCAAGCAGTGGTATCTCAGCCACTACGGTGTTGAGGTTGGCCGTAAGAAGAAGGCTGCTGCTTCTGCCACCAAGAAGGAAGGAGAGGTGAGACAGATCATTTCTCTTAGACAATGATTTACTTATATAATATATGCTGTCTTTCAGTTTAACCAAAGAAGCTAATCATAAATTTGTAGCAGGAGCATCATTTCGCTTACATTACTATATACTATTTTATACAGGAAGTCGAAGAGGTAGCTGCTGCTGAGGAGACCAAGAAGAGCAACCATGTCCAGAGAAAGATCAAGGAGCGTCAAGAAGGTCGCAATCTTGATTCACACATTGAGGACCAGTTTTCAAGCGGTCGTTTGTTGGCTTGTATCTCTTCAAGGCCCGGGCAGTGCGGACGTGCTGATGGGTATTAATCTCGTTCCTTAAATCTGTATTTGATTTTGTTGATTCATTGGTGTTTATGGTCTCTTTCTTGTGAAACAGATACATATTGGAAGGCAAAGAGTTGGAATTCTACATGAAGAAGATTCAGAAGAAGAAGGGAAAGGGTGCTACTGCTTAGACTTTCTTCTTCACCTTGAATCATGATGTTTTGAATTTTGAGTTTTTCTCTGTCGGAGAACTTTTGTTTCTGGATTTGTTAAAAATCACCCATCGCATGTTTAAAATATTGTCAAATTGAGCTATAGGGCCTTAGATTGGTATTTCCATTGTCAGTTTGTTTCTTCAAAAGAGTTTCCAATCTAATGAGAGGCGAACTAGGAAGGTATTTTACAGGCGAAGACAATTGTAGTAGAGTTTGACAAGTTTGTTGAATTTTATACAATTTAAGAGACTCCAAAAAAGTTTCTAATGGGTTAAAACAATATGATGGAAATGATAATATATTTTCATTGAATACTCTAATTAAAGGAGAAGCAAGAGTTTACATAGTTAGAACCAACGTTTTGAAAACCGACCGGATCGGACCAGGGGTCGGATCGGGTTTGACTGTGAACCGGTTGACTAGTCTGGTTGGGTTGACCCGGGTTTGAGTTTTTTTTTTTTTTTTTTATTTAAATTTTCATTTTTTCATATTTAATTTTTTTATGATTAAAATTTATAGAAACAAATACTAGTTTTGAATTTAGTTAATTTTTGTTATGGTTTAATGTTTTTAATTTTACATATAAACTTAACTATTTATCATTAAACTTTGTCTTTGAATAGTTGTTTTTGATATTCATATGATTTTCTTCATGATTAATTTTTAAAAATATGTTTATTCAAAGACTATATTATATATTTGGATATTATAGTTATACAAAAACTATTTATATTACTATTTTTTTAAACTATTAAATCCAGTTCGACCCGATCGGACTACATTAACCCAAGATCCAAAAGTTTCTCCGGTTCGGTCGCCGGTCCAGTTTTAAAAACATTGGTTAGAACTTAAATAGTAAATACACTCTAATTAAAATTCACATTGTAAAGAATCTAATAGAGCCCATGGAAATGAAGCCCACGTTTGTAGTCCTTTTAGTAAAAGTTAATTTATCCAAAGTCCATTTGCGAACATGAATTAACCCATTGGTTTAAAAAAAGAGATTTTCTAAATATAAAAAATTGACAATAAATATCTAAACCACACAATAGTGATTTGTCGTTATTCTTCA